TCTGTCTGTCTGTCTGTCTGTCTGTCTGTCTGTCTGTCTGTCTGTCTGTCTGTCTATCTATCTATCTATCTATCTATCTATCTATCTATCTATCTATCTATCTATCTATCTATCTATCAATGGAAAGACTCTAGATCATATATAAAAGCTAAAATGGGCACAATTTCTGCTAAAAGCTAAGAATTGCAAAGCAATAGCTAAAAGCTACAATTTGCTAAACAATGGCTACAAGCAGCAAGCAGACAGCAAAGTATGTCAAAGTAGATCCAAAAAAAAAATAATACAGTGCTCTGGATGAGATGAAAAGATCTCGATGCAAATGAAGATTTTCTGTAAAATAAAGGAAATAATTGAAAAAAGTAAAATCAACAAATATTAAAGAGTCATCGCACACTATTTTCAACAATGCCCAATATTTGATCCGAGGGGTTCACAATCAGAGAGGTGCAGTTAATGTTCAAGCATGACTGCTCGTTAGAATTTAGACTAATAATAATTAATGTTGTTGTTGTTTTTCATATATTTGAGTTGTTTGAAAATAAAATCCCTTCTTTGTGAGGACAGAAAGGATCTGAGCTGGGGAAGTGAAGGGCGTCATTGTTTTTATCGCCTGGCTGTAAGTCTGCGTTTGTTGTTGTAAAATCATAAAACTGTCTAGAGTTCTTTTCTGGCCTAGTTTTCATCGTTATGTACACACATTCACCGAACACGCCTGGAAGCGGCAGAAAACACACGTCCGTTGTGGTGTTTTAAAGCAAAAAGCTTCAGATTACAGGTAAAATAGTAAATAACAGAGCCTCAGGTGTGTGTGCACATCTGTGTGTGTTTGCACGTGTGACCACCTGGAATTTCTTCTTTTCTCTCTTATCAAACTGCAGGTTTCACCACCAACAAAAGGAGCTATGATCATTCACCGCACCTCTGAATAAACGTGCATTCCACTGTTTGGACCACAGGAACAGTGAGCAGTCGGTGGAAATAAACTGAACTCTGCTGTGCTTGAGTTTTTAATCACTGACTGTCTCCACATCCAAACACTTTCTGCAGAGAAGCTCGGATTTTTCTTTGGACTCCGCTGCACCCTGCTGGATTACACTGAGCTGAAAGGCCTCACGGAAACAGTCACACATCTGGATTTTGTGTCACTCTTCAGAGAGTTCTATCTTGTGATTGTCCTCCATATTCAGAAAAATCATCTTTTGTCAAAAACTCACAAATGCTCATATTTCTCATTTTCACCTGCAGCAGGAGTAAGAAGTTTAAAAGCGTTTAAACGGAGAAAACTGTATTTCCACTTATCTTGCTCGTGCATAAAAATTCTCACACTTGCAAGCAAGAGCAACTCACACACACACTGTGTTTTTAAAAAAATATATATATTATTATTATTTTACCTTTCTTTAACCAGGAAGGAACCTGTGAGATTAAACATCTTTTTCAATGGAGACCAGGTCAAAATCATCATCAGCCAACACAGAACATGGTTTCACTTCAACAAACGGTACCTTGGAAAACACAAGTGTATTTTATTTATTTATTTATCGTTTGTCTCTATGTGTCCCTGTGATGGACTTGTGACCCGTCCAGGGTGTACCCCGCCCCTCGCACAGTGATTGTTGGACATGGGCACCAGCGACCCCCGTGACCCAAATAAAGAAGCGGGTAAAAGATAATGGATGGATGGATTTATTATTTTTTTATTTAGGCCCTATTTATTTATTTATCTCAAACGTTCATATGCACACAAAAAACAACACTAAAAAAAAACAAAAAACACATAGGACAATGTGTGTTTGAGAAGGGGCAGGATGAAGCCAGTAACTTATCTAGTTCAGTCCCTCCTTACATATTGCGTATTTGGAATATAATTTATTGTTTAACGAAGAAAAAGAAAACAGAAATCAGCTGGAAAATAACTGCACTGAAAAATAAAATGATAGAGATTAAGAAGAAAGCAACCGTTTTTCATCCTGAGTTATGCGGGTGAGCATGATCGATCGATTGATTGATTTATTGATGGATTGATTGAATCAGGTGCGCACAGTGACCTCTTGTGGTCGAAACGAGTAACTGCATGAGAGCGTTGTTTTCGTTTATGCGTGACGTCACAGAGGCGGCTTCCTTCCGATTGGCTGGCTGCTCTGCTCAGGTCACGTGAACACCTAGCTTGTGTGTTGTTTCAGCATTAACGCTTTTAAAAATGTCCCTCTTTTCCCTCATTCTTCACGGTTTTTGCAGCTAAAGATCAACTTTAACCGCTGTTTTGTTTAAGGAATACACTCGGACGCAGCTGTAGGCGTCGTTTTATGACAGGTGGGTTGAAAGTATTTATTTATTGGTCTGTCAGCGACTTTCTTTCTCCTCCGAGTTCAAAGTTAACGAAACGCTTGTTTGTTGTTAAACACAAAATACAACGTGTTTATGATAATCACGTGCTTGTGTTTGCCTTTATTTTTGTAATTCAACTTTTTTAACAAGTTTTTTTTTTTTATCGCATCTGCACAGACTAATGCAGTTTTGTTTTTAATCACTTTTAAACGTGAATTCTGTGGCAGATTTGGGTCAAACAGGCTGTTTTAATCCTTTTTGTGTGTAAATGTAAATATGAGCTGGTTTAAAATCATCAGTTTGTCTTTTATACTTTGGTGCTGCAGCAGAAAGAAACATTTGTTGCTTTAAGATCAGAATAAACCTAATTAAAACTAGATAAACGTGCAAAAAGAACAAGAAGTCTGAGACTTTGAGCTGTTTGGCATTTATTTAAAACTACAACATTATGTTTAAAAACCTATAAATGAATGTGTGAACCTTTTAAATGTTTTATTCCTGGTTTTAACACAAAAACAAAAGGTTGATTTCCTTCTCTGAACTGATTTTACTGAAGAGACACGACTGCATCACTTTCTTTTTTCCTTCGTATTAAACTAAGTCAAGTAACGTGTTTATTGCTTTTCATAAATCTCGCTTCTAAAGTTTGTCAAACCGTATTAATCGAATGAATTACTTGAACTGGCTCGTGTTGTGGAACCACCAACAAACAGCCTGAGGTTTTTTATTTTGTATTTGTAGGAAGCAGCAGCCCGTTTCGTTAAAAACTGAATCTGTCCGTGCTTTTTCTTTACTTTCTTTTTACGCAGAGTCGACGGGAGCTGGTGTTCGTGTCCAGCGGTCCCCGGGTCAAGTCTCCTGTCCATCGCAGGGACAAAGAGACAAACGGGCAGGAGGAAACCCAAGTACCCGGACAAACGTGTAAAGTCCACACAAACAAAGTATTTCCATAACTTTGATACTGTTCTCCTTGTAGTACAAGTATTTTCCCTGGTATTGCCCCGTTACAAAGTCCAGACATGTTACTGACACCTCGAGTCTTAGAAATGAAACGGGAACATTCGCTGTTCGGTTTCACGTAGCGTGCATCGTTCAGAACGTATCGGGTCAATCCTACAGACTCCCACTGGTCTTGATGCCCACGTCCAGTTCAAATGATGGTGATGAAGACGATCTGAGTTCATATCGTCATCATCCTGAGGTTAATAAGAGCACAAGTCTTTCTGGAACCGTGCAGCCGTCGTCTAATGCTCTAAAGAAAGATCTTGTAAAGGACAAATGTTCGTGTCCTTTTCTTCGATCAGCAGAAAGCTACAGTTTGAGATTAGTTTGAATACTTGTCCACGCTGGACTGAAACCAGAGGGTGTTCGCTTCTGCGTTTTAGTTCAAAATAAATACCTCGTGTCTGCCCTGGTTTTATCAGGTGAATGTTTCTCAGCTCCCTGAAGTTCATGTGTAAAAAGTTCTTATAATCAGGAACTGCAGATGAACGTGCTGCATGCAATGATCCGAGGAGAGCAGAAGCTTCGGCGCGGTTCTGCGTGTTCGTGTGCCAACAGCCCTGATGGGTCACATGCTTCTTTGATTGGGAAACTGATTCTCGTGACTGATCTCGGTTGTTATTTTCCTGTCAGCACTTTTCGCCTCTGAGCTGCCTCTTCTTTTAACCTTTAGGTTAAAACGGGTCGTCTGTAACTCCCAGTCGGGGTTTCAGCCTTTTAATGGTGAGCAGCCGCCGCGCTCGCAGCTCATTGTCGTCACTGGAAACACCTGGAAGCTTCTCTTTGTGGAGTCTGTGAAGGTAAAACAGAGGACTGGGTGCGGAGGAAACCAGTAAAAGATCATTTCTGTGTGTTTTAGTTTCACTTTGCAGCTTCAGTTCAGAGACGAGCTGCGACTTCGTGTTTCTCGTGTTCACTTTCAGAGCAACAATCTGGGAATAATCTGAGCTAATCTGACTGACGGGGGACTTTACTGACCTGTCAGCATGAGGACGGACATCCCTTACAACCAGGTAACGTTCTTTTTCTTTTGGTGGATTTAAAGTGACATAATCATTTCAATTTGTTTTCATTCTGTATCAAATATGAAGCGTTAATAAGTTCAATCGTCGCTCACATTTTAAAATCACTTCAGTTTTTTTGTCCTCTTTATTTTTGCATAGATGCACTGAAAAATCCAATAATGGATGGAACAGTCCGAGATTATTTGGTGTAGTCTTGTGCAGTTATTTATACGCTAAAAACTAAAATATGAGAATGATGATGATTGATTTAAGACATTTTTATTGTCTGTCTTTCAAATTTAGAGCACAGTACCACAAGCCTCAGCAAATAAGTGTTAAAAAGTAAAATTAAATGATAACTAATTATATACAAGTGAAGAAATTGACAGTAGAAGACCATAAAAACAATAAAAAATACCATTAGAGCAGATTAAAACTCTTGTAATGTGCTGCATTGGTGGTAAAATAAAGTGAGAAAACTAAAACTTCATAAGTGAGGAAGTTAAAAAGCCACTTTATTATTATTATTATTATTATATTTGAGAAGTTGATGCTGAAACGGTTCCATCGGGTCATTGTTTTGCAGTCATGAGACTCGGAAAACCCGCTTCAAATACAGGAAGTTACCAATAAATATGAGAGGAATGTGAAGTGACGGGTTTGTTTTGTGTTTTTTTTTACTGGAGATGACTTTTCATAAACTCGTTGTTGCAACTGGCTGTGACTGTTGGTGACGGAGTCTCGGCCCGGTTCGGTGTGAAAGTGTGCAGACGTGTAGTCACTGTGTTGTTCTGTGCGTAGCTGCTGGACACGCAGCGGAGGAGGGCGGAGCCCAGCGGGAGAGCGCCGCCGGTGAGTTACAGCGCCGCCGCGCTCGCCCTCGCTCACAAGCGAACCTCACGTGTTTCTGTCTGCGCTCGTCTCTCAGTGCGGCAGGGCTTTGGTCGCCCTGGCCTCCGTGACCTGTCTGCTTCTCGTTGCCGTGGCGCTCTACGACCTCCTGACCCCAGCAGCGTCCTCGGATCATCGCCCTGATCCTCCTCGTCTCGACGTCTCTTTTGTTGGTGAAAAGGCCGAGTCCTGCTCAGACCCCTGCAAGTGAGCAAATACACGCTCGACATCCCAGAAATAAACGTGCTCGCAGGTTTCCCTTTGGAAACGGTGATTTGATGCGTTCTGTTGCACCAGCTGTCGTAAAGAAAACAACAAACCATTCAGCCCGTCGTTGGCCTGGAATTATTCTGTCGCTTTCAGACTTTTCTACATTCAGATTACTGTAAATGTTTCAAGAAAATGAACCTCAAGTGCAAAGTTTCCGCTAAATCCACTCTGAAATGTTTAAATCTATTTTACATTTTTTTAATTGAGATGTGCATTGTAACTGAGAGGCGTGGCTTATTCTGAGCCTAAAGGCAGTCCTTGACGGAGTGCCCAGAGTTTTAAAGTGACATCAACTTTCTGTAAAAAATATGGACTGTCTTATTGGAAATATAACATTCATAATATATGGCAAAAAAAAAAAAAGAATCATGCCGCTGAGACGAATAGTTGTTGAGATATTCACACGTGCAATAACAGGAAGTGATGTCAAAGGGGAACGCCTGCATGCATGGCTGACAACACAGACAGTAGAGAAGAATGGGATTAGATTATTTTAGTTGTCTATCAAAGAGAGACGAAGAGTCAGAGGTCGCATAAGATTGTTTCAATAAACAAAGATCAGGAAGTTCTCCTCTGATGTCACTTCCTGTTTCACTTTGGCTGAGCCAAGATCAAAAGGAAATGTGCCAAATCGTGCGTTTTATGTCAAATTTCTTAAATAAAATATTTTCTTGCACGTTTTGTATTTGTAGGAGGTGCATGTGACAGACGCTTTGAACTAAGAGCATCTTGGATGAGTTTTTATCAAACATCTTGCCTAGTTTCAGTTGATTAATAACTGTCAGCTACTACCACACCAAATGTCAGCTCCATATTTATAAAATTCATTAAGAGAGAACGGTTTTCCACTTGGAGTAAATCTGTAGGTAATTTAAAAAAACCTGCCCTGAAACGCAGCACGTGGTGCCGGCGCCTCCACGGGGAGCTGAGGGCGTGGACGAAACTCTGCGCGCACGTTGGCTGATTTATCCCCGTTTTGCAAAAGGAACTTCAGGTCGTGTTTCATTCAACGGATGCGTCTTAACTGTAACTTGCAGAGTGCGTTTGTTTCGTGCACTTGTTTTATTCAGTGTTTTTTGTTTTTCACCCTCTTGGGACGTCGGATGAAATTTAGCTACTGTGCAAATTCTGTTGCATTTAGATCCTTGGAATGTTGTTTAATGTGCACCGTCCTTTTAAATAAGTAAATGAAATGAAAATGTGTGTATAAATAAATATTAGCTCGTGTTTTACTGTTTGGGTTTGTACTAAATATTTATGTGTGGATGAGAATTTGTTAAAAAATTACCCAAACTTGCTCACGAATGTTTGTAAATCAGTTTAAATCTTTATGATTTATTATAAGATTTCTATAATGTAATCTGTTTCTCTTTACTGGCAGTGATTTACAAAACAAGATATCAGTCAGAAACTTGTTGTTTTTGCCGCTCTTCCTCTGAGCCAGGATGGTTCTGGTGGAGAGCATCCCTGAGGGGGTGGAGTTCAACTCCAGCGTCCGTCACCCCTCCATCTTCCACGAGTGGATGAACCTGATGAGCGCGGCGCGGCGCAGCATCGACGTCGCCTCGTTCTACTGGACGCTCACCAACGAGGACACCGGCACTCAGGAGCCCACAGCCAGTCAGGTGAGTCCACATGACACGTGGTCAACAAACTGAAACACTTTTATTCTCACTCTGAGGATTTTAGATATTTATAGAATATTTTTAATCCAAGCTGTAGACGGGAGTCCGCTGTAACGAGCCTGGAGGATCGTTCCAGACATTAGATAATCTGAGCCCAGCTGCCGTTCCTGTCTCGTCTTCGTATTTAATTTTATTTCCAGTCCGATGCAGAGAACGTGCCGATAATCTCTTAATCTAATCCGAGTTTGTCAGAACCTTGATGTGCTCTTTTTGTGGAACTACATCACGCAGGGTGACGAACGTTTGTGTTTGCACAGGGGGAGGAAGTTTTGAGCAGACTGGCTGAACTCTCAGGGAAGTTGAACGTCCGTATTGCAGTGAACGCACCACAGGGTCAACCTCAAGGCGACCTCAGGCTGCTCAGCGACTCAGGTGTCTCGTTTTATTCTGTGTTTATCAGCAGGTGGACCAAATGTCTGAGGATTAACTGCATCCTGGCTTCAACCAAAAATATATTCCAGTGTTTGTTTTTTACTCAAACTGTCGGGATAAAGAAAAATGTTGAGTTATGTCTGGGTCATTAGCTGTCCGTCGTAAAGGAGCTTGTAAGGACGTGATGTTTATGCTTTTGTGATAAAGAGGATAAACAATTCTCTAGTATTTATTTGCAATAAAGTAGATACATTTACACATAATCAGAGTTTTAACTTCAAAACCTCCTAATTAACAATCAGCTGGTACGTCTTCGTATTTAGCTGCTGCCAGAGCTCGACGGGAACTTCCTGTTTGGTTTTCAGTCCATAATAAAATCTTTGTGTTTAGGAGCCGACATCCGGACCGTTAACATGAGGGAGCTGACCTCCGGCGTTCTTCACACCAAGTTCTGGGTCGTAGACGAGAAACACGTTTACATCGGCAGCGCCAACATGGACTGGAGGTCCCTCACTCAGGTGCACGAGGCGTCTTTTCTGATTTATTACCGTGTTTTTTGGTCTCGCTGTCTCGGGTTAAATTTACTCTAAAAGGTGTTTCGTCCAAATCCAGCGGGATTATCGTTTCTTCGACTTCTTAAGCTCAAAGTTTGTCTCGGTGTTCCAGAATAGTTTAGACTGTCTGAACAAATCTGAGCAAGCTTCACCAGGAGCCGAATAAATACTGGAGACTTTACAGAAAGTAAAATGAGAGAAACCGTTCCTAAAAGCTAAAATTAGCACAATCGTAGCTAAAAGCTTAAACAAGCAAGACGGTAGCTAAGAGCTAAAATTATTTAAACAGTAGCTAAAAACTAAAATTAACTAAACTTTAGCTAAAATCTTTAGTTGTTGCATCTACAGCTAAAATCTGAAATTGGTCAAACTTTAGCTGAAAGCTAATTTTTGTCAAATAGCACAAAACTTAACTAGGCAAAGCAGTAGCTTAAAGCTAAAATTAAATAAACTGTATCCAAACTCTCAGATTTGCAAATCCATAGCTAAAAGATGAAATGAGCAAAAATGCAGCTAAAAGCTCATTTTTGTAAAACTGTAGCAAAAATTCTAAATTTAAAAAATCAGTAGCTAAAAGCTAAAAAATATCAAAACCATAGTTAAAAGCTAAAAACTACAAATAACAAATTGGTAGCGAAATGTAGCAAAAAAGCTACAATTAGCTAAATTTAGCAAAACTGCGTCCAACCACTGAAACAAACAAAATTGTCTCTAAAAGTTAAAATAAGAAGATTAAGGTCTAAGAAGTTTAGATTAAAAGAAAATAAAGTTTAATATTTGCCAAAGTATAAAACAAATGCTAACAGTTGTAGCTCTTTATTCCCGATGGTATGGAACGTTCTGACGTCCAGGCTGAAGAGTCGAAACAGTAAAAGCTTTGAGTGAAGTCCTCTGGGCTCGGGAGGAGGTTTCTGACCCACTGGGCCAAAGTTCTGCTGCTGGTCTGCAGGTGAAGGAGCTGGGCGCCGTCGTCTACAACTGCAGCTGCTTGGCTGCAGATCTGCAGAAGATCTTTGAAGCTTATTGGTTTGTGGGGGCCAATCAGTCGATCCCGTCACCGTGGCCGTCGAGCTTCTCCACGCCGTACAACAAGGACACGCCCCTCCAGCTGCCACTCAACCACACGCCCTCCAGCGTTTACCTATCGGTGAGGAAAATGAATAAAAGTTTTGTTTTTTGTCTAAAGTTTGAAGTCTTGGAGAACAGGGTTCATCAGACCTCTCTTTGATGACCTGCCCTCCTCAGAGTTCCCCTCCATCGTTCTGCGCAGCTGGCAGGACTCCGGATCTTCAGTCCATCCTCAGCGTGATCGATGATGCCGACAGATTCATCTACATCGCTGTCATGAACTACCTGCCCACCATGGAGTTCTCACATCCCAAACGGTGATGAACTACAAGAACACAGGGTTTGACTGCAGATTTTAAACGGTTCCATCAGCTCAGCCGTCTCTTCGGTGTTCAGCTGCTGTCGTGGCTTTGATCACAAAAAAATCTTCCTGACCGACTCAGCAGTTTTTATTTACTTCAGATGTGTCAAGATACTGTTTCAAGATGCTGATGGACCATCTTAGCACCAACATAACTGGTTTGTTCCACTTTGGAGTAAGCAGTTGGGGGAAAGAATCAGTTTTGTGTCGTGTGTTTCTTGACTGATGAAGCCTTCTGGATGGAAGCTGAAACGTTTCAGCACAAAAAAAAAAGAAAAAAGAAACTGTCCATGAACTTTATTTTACCTTTCAAGACCAGTCGGCTCGCGATGACATGGCTGCATGCAGCTGGTGTTATATGGCAAGCCAGGTTACCATATAATTGGACAGTATGGCAAGCCATGTTGCCATATAATTGGATTGCATGACAAGCCATGTTGCCATATAATGGGATAGTATGACAAGCCATGTTGCCATATAATTGGATAGTATGGCAAGCCATGGTGCCATATAATGGGATAGTATGACACACCATGTTGCCATATAATTGGATAGTATGGCAAGCCATGGTGCCATATAATGGGATAGTATGACACACCATGTTGCCATATAATTGGATAGTATGACAAGCCATGTTGCCATATAATGGGATAGTATGACAAGCCATATTGCCGTATAATTGGATAGTATGACAAGCCATATTGCCATATAATTGGATAGTATGACAAGCCATGTTGCCATATAATTGGATCGGGGCCAAAAGCCAGACACTGACCTGGTCCGCCCATCCAGCACATTATCATGGCCTGGCCCGCCCCGAATTCAGGCCGGTCTTGGGGCCCGGGTTAGAAATGACGGCTCTAATGCAGCCACGTGGCTCTCTGGTTGCCTAAATGCAGGCACTCGGACTTTAGTGAGACCTCCATGGAAACTTTGCCTTTTTTCTTGCAATACGGAGTCTTCAACTAGTCGCAGCCTTAAATTAAGACAAGAAACATCGTACATCATTCGTAGGAATGATGCACAAATATCAAGGTTTATTTGCAGTTATGTATGCAAAAGTACCAATTCAGTGGGATTGTGAGTAAAAACTTAGCATTTTGTTACTGTTCGTCAACAGCCGCAGCCCTGTGAGGTACAGGCTCTACTTGGAGCCAAGATGGATTGTTTTTCATGTTTACAGTTTAACTTGTTCACGTTTGATGTTGAGCTGAAGAATGTTTGAACCTCGATGTCCTGGGAAACCACCCGGTCTGAGAGGTTCTCTTGTGCGTGTCGCTCCGAGCAGGTACTGGGCAGAAATCGACACCCAGCTCAGACGAAAGGCGTACGAGAGGCGAGTCAAAGTCTGCCTGCTGATCAGCTGCTGGAACAACACGAAGCCCATCATGATGCCCTTCCTGAAGTCTTTGGCGTCAGTTTATGATCCACAAAACAATCTGGACATCCAGGTGGTGAGTGGCTCTTCTGCTGGGTGTAACAACGTCAGGGCTCTGGTCTCTGCTCGTGACATTAACACACACGGACCCCATGTTTGGTTCTCCAGAGGCTGTTTGTGGTGCCTGCCAACTCCAGGCAGAAGAAGATTCCCTTTGCAAGAGTTAACCACAACAAGTACATGGTGACTGACAAGATAGCATACATTGGTAAGAGTCACTCGTTCTGAGGTAGTACAATGATGTCATAACACTTGCTCTATCTCAGTTTACATCCTGTTTAGGGTTTTTACCTAAATTTAACAATAATAATCACGAGTGCTGATGATTTTTCATTCAACCTTTTATTTATACAAGTTAGTCTCGTTGAGTCTCGAGGACTCCTTTACAAGAGAGACCTGATTTAAAGAAAACACAGACGAGGAACAGACAATACATCATGTAAAATGAAAAGTAAATGGAAGACGCTGCATACACGATGAATGAAGCTGAGCTGGCTTCAGGGTTGCCAGATATATTTAAAATGTCTCATTTACCCCTCCTTTTCTGTGCACAAGTTCAACACACACCTCATCTTAGAATATCTTTACTCGGCACATATGACAGTTTAGGTCATAATACTATCATTTTAAAGCCATAGTACTATAGTTCATAATTTCTTATCTGGCAACCCGACTGACTTTTTTTTTTTTTGACGTTTTTTGTTTATTACCCCCAATAAACATTGAAAAAACACAACATTTCCAGAGGTTGTTGCGTGTAAACGGAGCCTTATAGCAGGTAGATCACTTTGACGTGATCATTTTAAAAGGAGCTCCATGCTGAAAATGTGTGGGCACACCTGGTGTAGACTAACTTTGCAAAAAACTGACTTGGTTGAAACGGGTGAGGACACCCAGCCCTCTTTGGAGCTCTGCAGATCAGAGTTCACAGCAGAAATGTTGGATTTGGGGCAGGAGCTGCTCTGGCGCCCTTCAGATGTCATGAAGTTGTTGAGAATCTTTCATAAACCCCAGATTGTAAACCTGGTGTGCTTTGGTCTCTAAGGAGATATTCTGTGTTTGTCTGTCATCAGGTACGTCGAACTGGTCGGGGGATTACTTTGTGAACACGGCCGGCTCTGCACTGGTTGTTAACCAGACGGAGTCTCTGTCCCTGAAGCCGACCGTCCAGTCGCAGCTGAAGGCCATCTTCGAAAGGGACTGGCACTCGGACTACAGCACTCCTCTCACCCAGGACTCAGACCTGAAGGACTTGTGCTAGTTTCAACATCTAACGGTGCTGTTTTTGCACACAGGTAGAATCACCTGAGCTGAAAGGGACAGACTTGATGGAGCGTTACATGCCGTACCCCTGGGACTACTGTGCTGTGAAGCAAACACTTCTGTCTTTATGTGTAGCAGTTCTACTCTGCTCCCGCTTTGTTGATGATTCTGTGTTTTATCTGCAGTCAGGATGTGCTGCAACACGCTGCCAAACTTTTCACTCACGTAATGCAACGTTTGTCCTGCAGCGCCGCTCGTGTTACCGTTCCAAGGACTGAGTGTTTTCTGCTGTTGCTGCTCACCTCCTGATGATTTTACAAACACTCAGATACACTGATGGGACACATCAGAGGCTTTGAGGGGTTCAGTGTCTTGCTCAGGAACACTTCAACATGTGACTGCTGGTGGATTCGAACCCCCAACTCTCGCATTGGAGGACGACTGCTCTAACCACTCAGCCACAGCCGCCCCATAATAAGAAAAGTTTGAACATATTATTTTATCATTTGAGTTCAGAAGAAAAATGTCAATCAGACTTTTAAATGGAGGATTTGAACTGTACTGTTTACTGACCCCCCCCCCCCCCCCACACACACACACACACACACACACACACACCCTCAGCATGTGAGGTGTTCATCCATCCATTATCTTTACCTGCTTCATCCTTTTCAGGTCGCAGGGGTCACTAGTGCCCATATCCAGCAGTCACTGTGTGAGAGGCGGGGGACATCCGGACAGGTCTCCAGTCCATCACAGGGACACATAGAGACAAACGAGACAACCATTCACTCTCACTCACACCATTCAGTCTAACATGCATGTTTTTGGTCTGTGGGAGGAAACCAGAGTACCTGTAGAAAAACCACGCAACACAGAGAGAACATGCAAACTCCACCCAGAAAGACCCCCGGCAGGGATTCAATCCGACAACCTTCTCGAGGTTTCCGGATTGGATGAACAGATGAACAGAACCACTATTAAACTTCAAGCTGTTTAATCTGTTGTTTGTCAGTGTGAGCAACATTTTCCTGTGAAGGAGATGATAATGGACTGACAGAGGAGTTTCGCTCTAATGTCCTGAGCGTTTCCATGACATCACCGCTCTGTGCGGCTTTTACAGCTGCCTGATCTTGTTCTGTCCAAATCTTTTATTTTGCTTTCTGTAATTTTAAGGATGTATAGCAGCTGCTTGAATTTTCATTGGGGTGGGGGTTCGACGTTTTCGTGGCACTTTGGTAAAACGTTCTAATTAAAACTGTAATTAAAAAAGATGCAAAAATAAAAAAGGGTTAGAAGTGAGTAAAAGTCTCTAAACTCTGTTTTTCTGACTGGCGATTAAGAAATGTTGAGAAAAGTTAAAGTGAGGCAAACTGATTGTTTTAAAGTAAATAATGGAAAAAATGGTTTTAATATAAATGAGTTAAAATCTGAAAAAGACTAAAGTATAAAGAGCGTTTCAAATGTCAGGGCTGTTTTCCTTTAAGCTGATGTTGCAGTCTGCAGGGCGATCGGAGGATCGAAAGGCCGTAAAATGTAATAAAGGTGATTGAAACCACTCGTTAGTGCATAGGCGGTTGTCATGGCAACCGAGCAAAAGGCCAGTCTAAGCATAAACTGGACCGGAACAGGTGTGCACATCATATCGTCTTTACCAAGAAACCGTTTTCAACGAGTTTTAAACAAACGTTTTGTGTGCGTTTGTTGCAGCATCTGATTTGTTACATTTATTTATTCATTACGTCACCTGTTGAGAAAAGTTCAGAGGATTTAATTTTCCAACTTTGTAACGGCGCAAACCTTCAGCTTTATTTACCTGCAGGAGAAAGTCCCATCGGTTGCTTCAGTGTAAAAACATTACGTCAATAGAGTCCACATTAGTTTCTCAGAGCTAGTCCAAATCGATCATCAAATCGGAATCGGAATAAGTTTTGTTATTGTACCGAAATACGCTGAAATTATGTTCAGTCGTCCGAAAGATGGGCGGCGTGCACGTTGCTGCTGTTACTAGAGCGCTGCCCCTTATACTTTTCAGAATATTTTTAAATAGAAAAGGGAGGAAATCTATGAGGTGTTACAAAAACAGATCTCTTCACATCTTGTCCTATCAGGACACGATTTAAGACGTAAAAAACTACCAGCAGCACATTCATAAACACATTACATGAGCATTTGATGGCAAGACGGTGAGATTTGTCCATGAAGCACTTCCAGAAAGACCATAGTTCTGATAAGATGTTGGTGTCAGCCGGTACAGCTCTGATAAGCGTTCACAGAAGTTCTCGGTGGGTGGGTTGCGATAGACAAAGCTTTGCTTAGTTTACACATATCCCAGGAGAAATCTGATAGTCGGCTGCTTTTGGGGCCAAAGGGGGTGTCAGATTCAGATAAGACACAGTTGTTGATTTTTTCAGGTAGACTGGTTTTTCTTGTCAGCCTTGAGTCCTGCTGGTGCTTTCAAGATCCAAAATGGACAGATTAGTGGGCATTCCACTGGTCCGTGCTTATGAGCCTCCTCCAAGGTCGTCTCCAACACGCTGGTGAGTCCCAGAAGCCGCAGGTGGCCTGTGATTCGCACAAATCGCTTCCATCTTGTGGTTTAGCTCGTAAATCAGCTGATTTTGAGTACTCCAAGCACAAACCAAACCTTCACACAGACTCAGCAGTTTTGCCACGGCCGAAACTGCTGCTGCCGTCTTCCTTAATAGCCGATGACACAGGAATCCACCGATGCCAAAAAGCAGAAACCCTGCTATCATAAATCCAATTATATAAACATCTTCGGCATCCTCTTGAGATAATACAGAAAGACATCAGCTCCCAAACTCCCCACGGATCCATGACGTGTCGTGTGAGTCTCTCCAGGACCCTGTTGCTTTGTTGAAAAGATTTTATCGATTGCGTTGAAAGTCCAGCTGACCAGACCCATGTCAGTAGTTTTAGTTTTGGAAGATGTGTAACAGGAGCTCCGATACACAGACAGAGAGCAAAAAAGCAGGAGAGGAAGAGAAAATGTGTCCGCCTTGCACGAGAGCGAGTGCATTTAAATGATAATTAAAGTTTCTATAATGTCAAGAAATAACCACAACATGTTTCTCTGAGATTAGAGCTGAACATTTTCTAAAAGAACTTCCTGTTTGTTAACACCGAACGACATCACTTTGTAAATGTTCTGGATGATATGGATCCTGTTTGTTGTTTTGGAGGAAGTGAATAATCAGATTTGAAAACTTGTTCTTCTTTTTACCTCCACCAAGGAGGAAGCGTTGGTTTATGTCACACAGTAACACCTACAGACGCACAAGAATCCTTTAACAGCGTCCTGGATGCAGACGGTGATCCAGATCTCCACCAACATTTAATCATGACAGGCTCAACATTTACCGAAAACCTCGTGAAATTTTGTGCATAACTTTTTGAGTGCAGACAGAAAAGACGGTACCAAAAACAGAACCTCCTTGGTGGAGGTAATAAATAAATATTGCAACATGCTAACTAAAAGCTAAATGTAGCTAGATGCTACCTAAAGGAAGGTCCTACAGGGCCGCTTCAACCCAGGTCTTCCAGCAGGTAAGGGTGCCCTGGGTGCCCCCAGGTGATCTTTTTAACCCTTTATAGTAGTGAGGACCTCAAGAGGAATAACTGAGAATTACATGTAAAGAAAATAAATCTGGTCATGAAGGTGGAAGTAAATCACAGATAAGACTCTACAGTTCTCTGTTCTGTCCTGCACCTCCTACTGAACGCAGTTTATTTAAACCTGAAGACTACGTAGAAATGATTTTCTCCCATGCCCAAAGTCGGCCAAGCACCAGAACAAGCCAGAAATAGGTCCCAGCTGCTGTGAAACGTCAGCCCTCCTGCTCCTTCCTGTCAAACTGAAACTCCGTCAGCGGCTCGGAGAGGCGAACGTGACGGAGAACAGCCGAAGGACACCAGCCGAGCCAGAGGCCGTCTGTCTGACAGCAGCACGAGGGAACAGAGAGGCGTCTGAGGCTGTGGACCAACATCTGCTGGGTTTGTTTCTGCAGGTCAGCCGAGGTCCAGATGAGGTGAGAATAACGGAACAAATCTAAACATCTCCAACTTTAAATATGTTGCACTGAGCTGCGTTCACCTCAGGAGCAGCTCAAACTTCTGGTTTCAGACATTTGTTCAGAGACATTCTAGTTTCCATGTGTCGCATGTTGCTTCACCCCCCTGCTGCCCTTGGGTCAAGACGACCCACGAGGCCTCAGATCCAGCTGTTTGCCGTAAAATCAGCTTCTCTGAGCAGAAACAAACCAAACAACAAATGGGTTTAATCCAGTAAACCCATTAAATGTAGTGTTTTTATTACTGTTGAATGTTTAAAGAACTGCCTGTGGTCCCAGTACCTACAGCTGGGGGGTGTCAAGGTCCACTCGTCCCTTTTCTGTCCTTTTTAACGTCCCTCTGCTGTCCCTCTGACATCCCTCTACTGTCTGTTTGCCATCTTACTGATATTTTGCTGATTTCCCTCTTACGTCACGACGTCCCTCTGCTGTCCCTCTGACGTCCATCTGTTGTCCTCTGATGTCCTGACTCTCCCTCTGACATCCCCAGCTGTCCTGTTTGGTCCCACCAAGGTCCACCAGCAGGTTTCCTAGCTGCTGGTGCATCCATAAAGTTTAAGCTGAAGATTTTTGCACAGATTTCTCTCTTTGACCGAATGTTTTAACGTCTTTAACTAATTCTACAATCGGAGTTGAATCTGTACGTAAAATGTCAAAAACAGCAAAGAAAACCTCTTAATTTGAAATATAATTTTATTTAGAATGGTTTATTAAACAGTCCTCATTCTTCATTTTATCCATAGTTTAAGTAAAGATTTGTCCTGTATTTAAAGTTTATATACACATGGGCAGAAAATGGTATTTAATGGTAGAGTAATGTATTTGATTTAAATGTTTAAGACTCTGTTGCTTCTGCCACTAGTCCCCCCCCCCCCCCCCCCACACACACACACACACAAACTTTACATATAAGCATATAAAAATAAAACCACATTTCAGTGACGTGGATTCTCCAGAGGGACTGACACAA